GAAATCCCAAAATCCCCATCCCCAAAATCCCCATCCTGGAATCCCGAAATCCCCATCCCTTAAATCCCAAAATCCCCATCCCTAAATCCCAAATTCCCCATCCCAAAATCCCCATCCCAAAATCCCAAAATCCCAAAATCCCCATCCCAGAACCCCGGAATCCCCATCCTGAAATCCCAAAATCCCCATCCCTTAAATCCCAAAATCACCATCCCAAATTCCCCATCCCGAAATCCCAAAATCCCCATCCCGAAATCCCAAATTCCCCATCCCAAAATCCCGGAACCCCGAAATCCCCATCCCGAAATCCCGAAATCCCGAAACCCCCATCCCGGAATCCCAAAATCCCGAAATCCCAAAATCCCCATCCCGGAATCCCAAAATCCCAAAATCCCAAAACCTCCATCCCAAAATCCCGAAATCCCGAGACCCCCATCCCGGAGCCCCGAAATCCCCATCCCCAAATCCCGAAATCCCGAATCCCCCACCCCGGAATCCCAAATTCCCCGTTCCCGAGCCGTTTTCCCGGATTTCCCCGGGCAGTCGCCCCCCGGATCGTGGTGGACCCCAAGCCCACGGTGACCGACATCGGCTCCGACGTCACCCTCACCTGCGTCTGGTCCGGGAACCCCCCGCTCACCCTCACCTGGACCAAGAAGGAATCCAACATGGTGGGAGCCCCTTCCGGGGCGTTCCGGAACCTTCCCGACCCCCTCGGGATCCCCCTGGGCGTGGGATTTGGGATTGGGGTTAAAGGCGGTCCCCAAATGTCCCCAAATGTCCCCAAATGTCCCCATTGTGGCTCTGTGTTCGCTCCCCAAAACTCGCTGGGAATGGGGATTGGGATTTGGGATTTGATATTTGGGATTTGGGATTTGAGATTTGGGATTTGGGATTTGGGATTTGGGCTTTGGGATTTGGGATTTGGGAGTTGGGATTTGGATTTTCATTTTGATTGGATTGGGTTTGGAATTGGGATTTGGGATTGGGGTTAAAGGCAGCCCCTAAATGTCCCCAAATGTCCCTAAATGTCCCCAAATGTCCCTAAATGTCCCCAAATGTCCCCAAATGTCCCCATTGTGGCTCTGTGTTCGCTCCCCAAAACTCGCTGGGAATTGGGATTGGGATTTGGGATTTGGGATTTGGGATTTGGGATTTGGGATTTGGGAGTTGGATATTTTGATTGGATTGGGTTTGGAATTGGGATTTGGGATTGGGGTTAAAGGCGGTCCCCAAATGTCCCCAAATGTCCCCAAATGTCCCCATTGTGGCTCTGTGTTCGCTCCCCAAAACTCGCTGGGAATGGGGATTTGGGATTTAGGATTTGGGAGTTGGGAGTTGGGAGTTGGGATTTGGGAGTTGGATATTTTGATTGGATTGGGTTTGGAATTGGGATTTGGGATTGGGGTCAAAGGCAGCCCCTAAATGTCCCCAAATGTCCCTAAATGTCCCCAAATGTCCCTAAATGTCCCCAAATGTCCCCAAATGTCCCCAAATGTCCCCATTGTGGCTCTGTGTTCGCTCCCCAAAACTCGCTGGGATTTGGGATTTGGGATTTGGGATTTGGGATTTGGGATTTGGGATTTGGGATTTGGGATTTGGGAGTTGGGAGTTGGGAGTTGGATATTTTGATTGGATTGGGTTTGGAATTGGGATTTGGGATTGGGGTCAAAGGCAGCCCCTAAATGTCCCCAAATGTCCCCAAATGTCCCTAAATGTCCCCATTGTAACTCTGTGTCCTCTCCCCAGAACTCCCTGGGAATTGGGATTTGGGTTTAGAAATTGGGATTTGGGATTGGGGTCAAAGGCGGCCCCTAAATGTCCCCAAATGTCCCTAAATGTCCCCAAATGTCCCTAAATGTCTTTGATGTTCCCAACCGTCCTGGATGTCCCCAAATGTCCCTTGATGTCCCTGATGTCCCCGGTGTCCCCAATGTCCCCAACCATCCCCGGTGTCCCCAGTGTCCCCAATGTCCCCAACCATCCCCAATGTCCCCGATGTCCCCAACGTCCCCAATGCCCCCGATGTCCCAAATGTCCCTGATGTCCCCAACCATCCCCAATGTCCCCAAATGTCCCCAATGTCCCCGATGTCCCCGATGTCCCCAATGCCCCCGATGTCCCCAACCATCCCCAATGTCCCCGATGTCCCCAATGTCCCCAATGTCCCCAACGACCCCGCTGTCCCCCGCAGGTCCTGAGCAACAGCAACCAGCTGTACCTGAAGTCGGTGACGCAGGCCGACGCCGGCCAGTACGTCTGCAAGGCCATCGTCCCCAGGATCGGCGTGGGCGAGAGGGAGGTCACCCTCTTCGTCAACGGTCAGACGCCCCAAAAAACACAGAAATGCCCCAAAAATCGCCCCAAAAAAACCCAAAAGTAGTGCCCCAAAAACTGCCCCAAAAACCCACAAAATGCCCCAAAAAATGCCCCAAAAAAACCCAAAATACTGCCCCCAAAAAACCCCAAAATACTGCCCCAAAAACTGTCCCAAAAACTGCCCCAAAAACCCACAAAATGCCCCAAAAATCGCCCCAAAAAAACCCAAAAATTCTGCCCCAAAAACTGCCCCAAAAACCCACAAAATGCCCCAAAATCTGCCCCAAAAAAACCCAAAAATACTGCCCCAAAAATGCCCCAAAAAATGCCCCAAAACCCCACAAAATGCCCCAAAAATCGCCCCAAAAAACTCCAAAATACTGCCCCAAAAACTGTCCCAAAAACTGCCCCAAAAACCCACAAAATGCCCCAAAAATGGCCCCAAAAAACCCAAAAATACTGCCCCAAAAACTGCCCCAAAATCTGCCCCAAAAACCCACAAAATTCCCCAAAAAAATGCCCCAAAAAAACCCAAAAATTCTGCCCCAAAAACTGTCCCAAAAAACCCCCAAAATGCCCCAAAAAATGCCCCAAAAAACCCAAAAATACTGCCCCTAAAAAAACCCAAAATACTGCCCCAAAAACTGTCCCAAAAACCCACAAAACTGCCCCAAAAAAACTCCAAAATACTGCCTCAAAATCTGCCCCAAAAACTCAAAAAATGTCCCAAAATCTGTCCCAAAAAAACCCAAAATAGTGCCCCAAAAACTGCCTCAAAAACTGCCCCAAAAACTGCCCCAAAAACCCACAAAACTGCCCCAAAATCTGCCCCAAAAAACCCCAAAATACCTCCCCAAAAACTGCCCCAAAAACCACCAAAAAAACCCCCAAAAACCACTCCAAAAAAACCCAAGAACCGCCCCAAAAACCCCCAAACCCGCCCTCTAAAAACCGCCCCAAAACCACCAAAACCCACCCCAAAAACGGCTTCAAAAAAACACAAAAAAAATACCCCAAAACTCCCCAAAAAAATTCCCAGGGGGAATCTCCCCCGGAATCCTTCCCGGAATTCCCAGGAATCCCTTTCCCAGGTGGCCCATCCGGAATTCCCAGGGAATCTCCCCCTGGAATCCTCTCCCGGAATTCCCTGGGAATCTCCCCCGGAATTCCCGGGAACCCTTTCCCGGGTGGCCCACCCGGAATTCCCTGGGAATCCCCACCCAAATCCTTTCCCGGAATTCCCAGGGAATCTCCCCCTGGAATCTCCCCCGGAATTCCCGGGAATCCCTTTCCCGGGTGGCCCACCCGGAATTCCCGGTGGTGGCCCACCCGGAATTCCCGGTGTTTTTCCGCAGGGCCCCCGATCATCTCCAGCGAGCCGGTGCAGTACGCGGCGCGCGGCGACCGCGGCAAGGTCGAGTGTTTCATCGGCAGCACGCCGCCACCGGATCGCATCGTGAGTGCCAAAACTGCACTTTGTACAAATGTTTTATATCAATTTATAACTTTTTATATAATTTTATATTTTTTTATATATATATGTGAGTGCCGAAACCTCGCTTTATCTAAGTATTTTATATTAATTTGCATTTTTTATATGAATTTATATTTTTTTATGTATATGTGAGTGCCAAAATCTCACTTTGTACAAATATTTTATATTAATTTGTATTTTTTATATGAATTTATATTTTTTTTATATATATGTGAGTGCTGAAATCTCATTTTATATAAATATTTTATATTAATTTGTATTTTTTTATATAAATTTATATTTTTTTATGCATATGTGAGTGCCAAAACCTCACTTTGTACAAATATTTTATATTCATTTGTATCTTTTTATATAAATTTATATTTTTTAAAAATAATTTTGTATTTTTTTATATATATGGGAGTGCTGAAACCTCACTTTATATAAGTATTTTATATTAATTTGTATTTTTTATATGAATTTATATATTTTTTTATATATGGGAGTGCTGAAATCTCATTTTATATAAATATTTTATATGAATTTGTATTTTTTATATAAATTTATATTTTTTTATATGTATGGGAGTGCTGAAACCTCACTTTATTTAAGTATTTTTCATAAATTTGTATTTTTTTATATAAATTTATGTTTTTTTATATACATGTGAGTGCCGAAACCTCATTTTATATGAATATTTTATATAAATTTATATTTTTATATAAACAACACCTGAATCCCCATTCCCACGGCTGTCCCAGGGCTGGGCGTGGAAGGA